TATATTTAAAAAAAAGTAAAATTCTAGATAGATCTTTTCAAGAAAATTTGTGAGAAGAAAATATATTGTTTCTTTCTCGGACAGAAACATTCTGTATCATCTGAAAGTTTAGACGTCTAATTAACTAATTAAAAACAGCTACAAATTTTTATTAGTGTCTAAAAATAAAATTATAAAATGAATCTAAAAAAGATTTTTATAAAATCTTGTATGTTTAAAAAGTTATTTCTCTAGTTATTTCTCTTTTCTATTTCATTTTAAGTAACAAGAAATTATATTTATATAATACAAGAGCTGCGTATTGTATAAAATATCTTAATAAAACACGTTCTGAAAGATGTTATGTAAAAATCAATTTTTTTATTAAAGTATCTCGATAAAAGATTTATAATTTTGTTATTTATATAATATGTTATTTATATAATATATAATTACTTAAAGTTTGTGTGAAAAAAATTCGAGAGGAGATAAATTTAAAAAATATTATTAAAAGAAAAAAGAAATGCGAATTAACTTAACAAGTATTCACTGCAAATATTTAACGAGACTTTCTCTATACAAATGCATTTATGTAAATATGGAGGAACTTTCTCAAACTAATCTAATCAGTCGAATGAAATACTACTATTTCGAAATAACGTAATGCATCTTTTAGAAATAAGCAATAAGAGCTTTTCTTTAAAAAATTTTTAACTAAATATAATCATACGTACGCCTGTGATGAACGCTGAGATAAGAAATACAATAATCAGTTTAAAAGCGTCAAATGTAAGACTGTGAAAATTGATTGATCCCTCGATTTACAATTTGCATTCAACATGCAAAAAAAATATTTTGCTGCTCCAGCTAAAATTATTGCTATTTTTGTATTTGATAGAAAATTATTTATCATACGCATAGAATTTATAGCACAAATCTAAATTCTATCTCTGTCATCTATATGATTAGATGCAATATATATATATATATATCTAATATCGTAGTACTTGCTAAAAATTTGTCTATTTTAGCTATTTTTTCGTACTTAAATAATTTTCTGCAAGATCACTTTTTTTGAGTGAAATAAATCACGCGTACGTATTAATCATCGCTTTTCCTCTTAAAATAATTCTCAAGAGCTATTTAAATAATTGAAGGTCTACGTTGTTCGAGTTTATTTCTGCTAGGAAACGATGACAAAACTTTTCTCATGTGCTTGTAAACACGTCGCTGACGGGATTACTCACGGATGTCGTGCTGCAGCAGGGTGACTTATACTTTTCCGCGGAACTATTACATAAAAGTATCATCAGGGCGGTGACGATTCCACACGGAATGGAAAGGATAGGTGCGTTCCATCACGTCGGATACCTTGTACTACAAAAACAGAAACGTAGAGATGAAAGAAGAAACAGAAAAACAAAGAGAAAAAGGGATGACAGATTTATGTTTGATATTCGCTAGCAAGAATCTCTTTTTGAAGATAGATGGAAGAACTCGTATATTATGGCAGACACATGATAGCAACGATGCGAAACGACATGAGAGAAACAAAATGATGAAAAAAAGCAAGAGAGACGTAATCATTTCACAACTTCGACCTCGACATTATTGCAATTTTTCTTTTTTTTTTTTCTTTTATGAAAGCATCACGTATTTTGGGAAGAAAAATTGTGATTTTTTTAAAGCGTAATGAAGAAAATACACAAAATTAAAAAAAATGATTGTCGCTACAATTCGAAAGTCAGTAATATTTATTATTAGGCGTTTGCTTTCATAAACGTCTAAAGAGTATCTATAAATTTTGTTTACCATACTTTGACAGGTTCACGTTTAAATATAGCAGAAAAAATATAGAAATGAAAATAAATATGAATATAAAAATAAGAAAGTATAAAAGTATTTTAAAAATGTCAAGGTTAAACAAGAACATAATTCATTTTGAAATCATTTGAAAAGCAGAATAGCTGTTTATCTTTTTACCTTTAAAACGATTCACTTTAAATTTTTTTTGTTGACAATGCAAAATAAGACAACGACATTAACATATCTAGAAAAAAGTAATTACATAAATTGCATATTCACATAAATATCTAAACATGCATAAAATTATGTCTCACTTTGTGCGAATAGAAATTAAACATGCTTATGTACGTTATATAATGTTACAAGAAATATTGACGTTTAATTGCAAAGATTTCTAAATATTTTTTTTTTGTTTTTCAATTCTGTTAATTTTATTGTGATCTCTTTATTGTGATCACTAAACATAGCATTAATTACAAAACAATATAGATAGATAATTTCCACTTTATGTAAAAAAAATTAAGACAAAAATAGACATCGATTCAGCTTGCTAAGTCCATTTCTAGCATCTCTTCTCACTATTTTTTTTTCACTCGATTACGAGATGCTTAGCGCGAACTTCCTTCGTGTCTCATTCTTGAAAGCAGGTATGACGTTAACGTCCAGTCACGCCGAATGTCTCGATACCTTTCTGCGATCGAGCCTTTTAAAGTCGAACCAGTATCCGATGGAGACAACAACGATCTCGTTGCGCAAAAGCCGCGCGCAAAGTCTCGACTTTCACTGGCCGCGCGCGCGCGCACGTGCGTGTGCCCTTGCACGCTGTCGCACACGCGTGTGTATGCACGAGCGCGCGCGCGATTGCGTTTGTCGCGCATCGCTGGACGCACGAAAAGTAGGAGGATAAACGTAACCGGCAGATTAAAGGACCGAGAGGCGAACCAAGAATTATACCGTAGTTTGTTCACTGCGAGTGTGCGCTGTAGAGTCTTTTTGATTGGTCGCTCTTGACGATACGGGCTTACAGAATTCGATTTTTCCTTTTAAGCAGGTATTCCAGCTAAAATATCGGATTAATTAACATGAAACGAGAAATTATTGCTCCAATCGCGAGAAGCTGGATCTTTCTGATCTCACGAAGGGATTAAATACTGAATTTCAAATGACAAATGGATAATCGATATTCAATATTTAATCTTATCTTTTATTTATTTGAAGTACGCAGAAAGTTAAAATAGCGATCTTAAATTAAGAATGATTTTGCTGCGTTATAATCATGTTATTATAAACGATGAAATATCTCAGAGAATAAATTATTTCCTATTATTAAATTAATACGCAAGACAAAAACATATTTGTAAACTTGATTTGAGACGGAGATATAAATGAAAATTGTTCTGACAAAATAGTAGATGATAACATAGTAGATGTAAAAATAATAAAATATAATTGAGAAGAATCCGCTGTATCCATGCGGAAAAACAAAAGGACGGAATAACAGATTAAGAAGAATAAAAAAGAGAAACGGAAATAACACGGATTATTCTGAGTGAGTAAATTGCAGTTTCCTTTTTCCAGAATCGCGAAACAGCCTACAACTTCTTCCACTCGCGGCAAAAAAGGAATGACACGCGAAGATGCACTCTGTGATGCATAACAATGCACAATTTCTTGCATGTAGTTTTGAATAAATATAATGTAATATCGAAATATTCCTGTAAATATGCTCGAAAAAAATGTAGTAATGCGTTGCCAT